TGAGGAACGAGGACTGTCAGGCTCAGAGCCAGCACTGGGACTTGACCTGTGGGGACAGGGACCTCCCAAAGCCAAACCTGCCAAGGGCCCAGCTGTAGCAGTCAGTGTGGCAGGGAGGGAAGCAGAGGARTCCCCTGGCTCAGCTGGTTCCTTTTACCCATGAGAAAAGCAGCACATTGGCAGAATAGGACACTGTCTGCAGGTCCTGAGGAACAGCAAAGCTTCCCGGAGTTTTCCTGCAGAGATGCCTCCATGTTCCTCACGTGTAAGCCATGGGACATTAATGACTGTGACAAACCCCTCTGGGCACAGCTGAGAGGATGAATGAGACGCCAGTGTCCTGTCAATCGCTGCCTGGGTATCCCAGGGAACTGGTGCAGTCGGATCACAGATGTCCCATCGATGCTGGGTTGGTTGAGCCCTGTGTCACAACGTCTCTGCATTCATGGATTTCCACTGGCTGCAGTGGCCAGTGCAGGATGCAGGGGCTGAGTGTGGATCTGGTGCTGTTGAGATCAGGCTGGGTCTTCCCAGGGGTTTCCCTGCAGCCCAGGCCAGGCTGTGAGTAGCTCTGTGTGCTGGATGATCCTCAGGGAACTCGGACTGCACACAACAGCTATTCCCATTTTCCTTCCCTGTCTGAAGTACTTTTCACATTCTTTTAATTTTAGTGTCGGGGCTGACACAGCAAGAAGCTCCAAGACAATTCATTCACATTTTATATTTCACACTTGCACTTTCCAGAAAGGAGTTGCTTCAAAGATATCTTTACACTGTTGTTATTTCCTTGACTCAGTTGCCCTGCTGGGTGCCAGAATGAACCTCTGGTACTGCAGCTGCAGGAGTCAAATTCCAGCTCTGTCCCTTTTGTTTACCACATTCAAACGCTGATTTCTGGATGGCACTGAGTTTCCTCAGTCACGTGTGGGTGCAGGGAGAATGGCTCACTCTGTTTAGGGTTTGGCCTCTCYATCCATTGAGGGGTCCTGCTGCCCTGGACAGGACAAAGGGGAGCTGCCAGGCTCTCAAAACCACAGATTCATTCAACAGTCCAAAACTCTGAGCCTGGCATTTCCCAAGGTCTCACCCCCTCTTTATTGTTAGCTCGACCATCCTGGAAACTCTTAGTGGGATAGGAAATAGCTGAAGGGAGGGGTCACTGTTGCTTTTGGGGAGAGATGTGGACAGTCACTTTGTTTTCCTCTGGTTTTTTTTTTTACCCTAACATGCCAGGAAAAGCAATATCTCGCCCTGGTCAGTGCTCACGCACGTGGACATGAGGGGATAAAAGGGTTTACCTCAATATTTTAATAGGATCCCAGGTGCACAATTTGTCAAGGTGGAAAACATTGAAGGTGCACACCGTGGCACGATACATAAATACATGTATTTAATTTTTATAGACTTCACAAATTAATGTATCTATCTAGAATTCCCCAATCAGAAACTAAACAAATGAAGTAATATCCCMCTATTTGAAAGAATTCCTCCCATCTAGACAAGGCTAGAACCTGGTTTACATAATGTGTTCAGAGAGAAGGCTTCACCCAAGGCTGGAACCTCAAGTTTTGAGATAGCACAGGGCACACTGACCCCTCACTGAGGGTATTTGGTCTCTCTGCCCAGCAGAACCCCGAAAYTGAGCTGGAATATCAGGCTGCAGGAATTACAGCATGTAGGCAAAGGGTACAAGGAATACGTAAAGGATACAGGAAATGTCTAAAAGGGTATATAAAATATAGAAAAGGGTATTTAGAAAGAAAAGGCAAAAATCACCAAGCATCAGTCCCACCCCAGCAGGGCTGGGAGGGGCTCTGTGGGAGCTGCCCTGATCACATCCAGGTTCGTTTCCAYCCCTCAGCTCTCTGCAATGGAGCAATGCCTTTGTTTCAGGAGGAAGAGGATGGATGTGCTGCCACGGGCGTGTGCCAGGCTGCTCCTCCTGTCCCTGCTCTGTGCCCCCGGCCTCTGCCAATGGAGCAAAAGTGAGTGGAGCCGTGCTGGCTCTGTGTCCCACCTCCCTTGGGGACTGTGTGTGCCTGTGCTGGGCTCCAGAYACCCCAGCCCTCCAGTGGAGAGCACCTGCCATGTGCTCTCCCTGTTCTGTTCCATCTCCTCAGCATTTGGGGTCCCTCTCTTGCTGCCCCGCTGCTGTTTTGCAGCCAGTTCCCACTAACCAGACCAAACCTCCATCCCTGCGTGGGATCAGCCTCTCTCCTGCCCTCCACATCTCTGTTCACCCCATCCCTGATGTCCTGATCTCTCTTGGCAGGTAACCGCTGTGTTCAGTCCCGGGCAAAGAGCTGCACCGAGTGCATCCGCGTGGACAAGGACTGTTCCTTCTGCACCGACGAGGTGAGACCTCACAGGGCAGCCCAGGGCCCCACTTGCCACCCTCCTGATGGAGGGATCCCTCCACTCTCAGTGGGAGAGGGACACAGGAGCAGGGACAGCTTCTGTCTGGATCCAGCTTTTCTTCTGGTTGGGGGAAACACTGTAATGTGAATTTCCTCTTGGTRCGGAAAACAGGGAGGGAGGGGAGTCCAGGGAAAATTGCAGGAATGCAGGGGTTTAGCAGGAAATGTCCGTGTGCCAGGAATAATGTTTATCCCACACAGCCCAGTTACTCGCTGGTGGTCACATTCCAGCTGGGGACACTGGTGGCTCTGCACGGGACTCGTCYCCACCTCCCTGCCCYRCTCCTGCTCCCAAAGGCTCATAACRCTCTCAGCACAGCAYTTTGCTTCCTGCCCCGTGTCTGTGCCCCTCTCCCGGTGGATTTGGTGTTTGCTGTGGCTCTGACGCTGTCCTTGCTCCCAACAGAGCTTTGAGGAGCCRCGCTGTGACCTGCGGGAGAACCTGCTGCGCTCCGGCTGCGGCGAGGCCAGCATCGTGTACACCCGTGGAGAGATGAGGACAGAGAAGGTGTGTGCTGGGGACACTGCCCCTGCTCAGCCCCTCCTGAGGGATCCCTCACGCCCCTCATCCTCCTCTGGAGCCTTCAGCAAGAAAGCCCAGATCACTGTTTATGTAGGGTCTACTCACAAAAACGCCTTCCCAAGCTGATGAATGTGTTGGCCACCAGCCCGAATCCAGGCTGAGGGGACAGTGCAGGCAGAGCAGGTGTGACCAAAATGCTCYCAGGCTGGATATTAGAAAAAAGTTCTTTACAGAAAGGGTGATAAAGCATTGGAATGGGCTGCCCAGGAAGGTGCTGGAGTCACCATCCCTGGWTGTGTTTAAACAGAGATTGGATGTGGCACTTGGTGCCATGGTTTAGTTGAGGTGTTGGGGCATGGGTTGGAYTCRAAGATCTKAAAGGTCTCYTCCAACCCTAATGATTCTGTGATTCTGCCATCCCTCTGGAGGAGGTGCCTGGCTGGGCACAAGAGGACATGGGGTTGGACAGTACACGAGGGAGATCAGCGTGGTCATCCCTGCCTTTGCACTTCCCACGCATCCCCTGCTCCTTCTCCTCATCACATCCTCTCACCCCGCTCCTCTCCACAGAATTCCAGCATCAACACGTCCCTGCAGAGGACTCAGGTGTCTCCCCAGGCCATGTCCATGTGGCTGCGGGCTGGTGAGGAGATGAGCTTCAACATGGACGTCTTCCAGCCCAAGGAGAGCCCCGTGGATCTCTACATCCTCATGGACTTCTCCTACTCCATGTCTGATGATCTGGACAACCTCAAGAGCATGGGGCAGAACCTGGGTAAGGGCAGAGCTGGACTGAGAGGGGAGCCTGGTGGAGGTAGGCAGCTTTCTCCTGCCAGTGGCTGCGAGTCCTCAACTGAGAATTGTCTGTTTTAATAAGAGCTTCTCGTTATCACTGCTCTGTGCAGTCCTGTGGGGGGATGCCTCTCTGGTCCTGCAGGGATCCTCACATGTTCTCTCCCCACCCCTCAGAGCTGGGTCTGTGCAGGGCCTTGGCCATCTTGGACCTGGTGGGTGCTATTGCAGGAACTCCAGTTTTGTGGCTGCCACAGGGGGTGGAGGTTTCTACCCCATAAAAGTCAAGCCCTAAGCCCAAAGATCTCAGAAGCTGACAGTTTGGGAATCTTATCTAAGGACTGACCAGCAGAGGAGATGCCCACAAAAGGACTGAGTTCTCTGAARTGTGAACTCACAGACATCTTTGTATTTACATCTCCCCCTTCCTTTCCTCTCCTCCCAGCTGAGTTCCTGCAAGCCCTGACKTCCAACTACACCATTGGCTTTGGCAAGTTCGTGGACAAAGTCTCATCCCCCCAGACAGATATGAGACCTGAGAAGTGAGTGAACCCAGCAGGTCCCTGGGGTGGGAGTAGAGGATTTGGAAATGTCTCCTGTTTCTCTGTGACTTTCCTGGTCTTCACTGCCTGCAGTGCAGGAGCCCACATTGTGCCTTCATTGCCAATGTCTCTGATCTTCCCATCCCTCAGGGCTTTCTGTGGCACCATGACAATGCCAGCAGTGTCCTTCCCTGCTCTACCACAGCAGTCTGATCTCGTCTTGTCCCTCTCTGCCCTCAACCCTTCTCCCTCTCACTGCTGGTGGCTGAGCTGCTCAACCCCACGCTTCCCTGGAGGGCTTTCCCTGCCCCATTTGCTGCTGCCCTACACCAACCCCAGGTTCCCTCTCCCYCAGGCTCCGTGAGCCCTGGCACGAYGCYGACTCACCGTTCTCCTTCAAGAACGTCATCCGCCTGACCAGCAACATCAACCACTTCAGCCAGGAGCTGCGCAAGGAGCGCATCTCCGGCAACCTGGATGCCCCCGAGGGCGGCTTCGATGCCATCCTGCAGACAGCTGTTTGCAAGGTGAGGGGGCCAGGGCTGTGGTTTTAATATTTTAATGAGTGGATCTTCCTGATGCTCATTAATGAGAAGAAAAGCCACACACTGGGCAGCTGATGGGGCWGTCAGAGAGCCCAGGTTCAGCTACATCTGGCCCTTGCCCTCCCAGGCACACATTCCCAGTGCTGAGCTGGTTTGCATTCCCAGTTTTTCCCAGTGAGTGTYCTGGTGTTTGATGCCCAGCACAGGAGCTGCTTGCTGGGCACCCTGCATGAGAGCTCTTTGCTCTGTCCCCCGCTCTGTGCCTGCGGTGATGAAACTGCTCCCTGGAAAAGAGCCCACTTGGGCTTGGCTGAGGGCTGAGCACAGCTCCAGACACATCCAGGGAAGTGTGGGCTTGCCCTCTGAGCACACAAGTGCCTGGCACGGGGCTGCTGGGTGGGAACCCCCCCGTGCTTTGGGGGTGCTGGGATCCCTGGTGGTGCTCGCTGCAGGTGCAGGTGGTGCCTCATCCCTCAAGTGTCCAGCTGTGTCAGTGCTCACCTGCCCTGTGTGGGGTTTGGGAGGCACAGAGGTGAAGGTCCCTTGTCCCCCTCCCCTATCCCTGCAGGATAAGATTGGCTGGAGGAAGGACAGCACGCACCTGCTCGTGTTCTCCACCGAGTCTGCCTTTCACTACGAAGCCGACGGCGCCAAYGTCCTGGCGGGGATCCTGGCGAGGAACGATGAGCAGTGCCACCTGGACAGCCAYGGCACCTACGTGTACGACACCAGGCAGGACTATCCCTCAGTGCCCACCCTCGTGCGCCTGCTGGGCCAGCACAACATCATCCCCATCTTCGCTGTCACCAACCACTCCTACAGCTACTATGAGGTGAGGAGACCATGGCCGAGGTGCCTGTCCTCCAGGACCACTGCTCCTCTGCCTCAGCTCAGCTGTGGGGTGAAAGTGGTGCCCCATTTCTCGTCCCCAAGCACTAAACCACCACCTTGATATTTGGGAGGGTGCCACACTGTGCTGGGGGGCTGCTCTGGTCTGTGGGAGGTCCCAGGGTGTGTTAGTGGATGCAGGAATCTGGGCTTCTGGAGGTTTCCCTGTGTTGGTTTCTGTTCCTTGTGAAGCCATGGGGGCACAGTGGCAATTGAGGCACAGACTCCACATTGGTATCTGAAGATGTTTCTTGCAAAGATGCAGGGTTTTTAAACCATTAGTTTGTTATGGGTTTACATTCTTGTGAAGCACAACMAAGTGTTTTACCCAACCACCWTRAACCAYACCAGGAACACGCAATRGTCAGAAMCAACCACCACAYACCACAGTGTGAGCTCCCACAGGCTCTATCMCTTRTTTCCCAGGGTTACAGAACTTACTTTTCACCTCTAGTTTAGCTGAATCATTCCCAGAATCCTTCTCTGGTTAGCCAAAGTAACAGGAGGGAGCGAGAGTTTTACAAGGGTAACAAGGCCCTTGTTTTATAAGGCTTTACTTATCTGCAACAGCACAGAGCTGGAGAGTAATTTGTGTTGGAGGGGACATTGGAGGTCTCTGCTCAAATCAGAGCCCCATTTCRTGCCTTGAGGGTTCTCCATGCCTTGGCTCAGGGCTCCCTGTCTCTCTGCAGAAGCTGCACAAGTATTTCCCCATCTCTGAGATCGGGGTGCTCCAGGAGGACTCCTCCAACATTGTGGAGCTGATCCGCACTGCCTTCGAGGTAACGGTGCTCCCTGAGCTTCCCTCGGGCTGCCAGGGAGGGCAGAGGGTGGGCACGTCCTGAGGGGGACAGCGGGCAGGGGATGGGATGTGGCACCTCCAGAGCAGGCCATGGGGTGGTGGCAGGGGGCTGGATGTGGCCATGGGGTGGTGGCAGGGGGTGGGATGTGGCCATGGGGTGGTGGCAGGGGAGGGGATGTGGCCATGGCGTGGTGGCAAGAGTGGGGATGTGGCACCTCCAGAACAGGACACAGAGTGGTCATATTTATCCCCTGCTGCCCAGCGCATCCGCTCCAAGATGGACATCAGGACTGACTTCACCCCCAAGGCCCTGAAGACAGAGTTTACCTCCTCCATGTTCCAAAAGACRGATTCCGGCTCCTTCGACATCACCCGCGGGAAAGTGGTAAAGCCTGGGCGGGCCGTGGAGGAAGGTGTGAGGGGCTGAGCTCCTCATGTCCGGTCGGGCTGTGGTCCAGCAGAGCTGGCTCATCCCTGCAGCATGTCCTTTCTCTCAGGGCAAGTTCCAAATGCACGTGAAGGCCCTGGAGTACGTGGGYGGGCAGCATGTCTGCAGCCTCCCCGAGCGGGAGCGGCGCGGGGTGATCCACGTCAAACCCACGTCCCTGAGCGACAGCCTCACCGTGTCAGCCGCTGTCGTCTGCGACGTGTGTCCCTGCGAGCAGGTGGGGTGGTGCCCTCATCCTCCTCGTCCTCGTCCTCCTCGTCCTCGTCCTCCTC